GATAACTCTATCATCCCTCATCCCTGCCTGGATGCCTACCTGTGCGACCTGCTGTAGGGAACCTGCTTTGGCAGGGGGGTTGGACTCGATGATCTCTGGAGGTCCCTTCCAACCCCTACAATTCTGTGATTCTGTGTGATTCTATCTTGCATTGCTTTTTCCATAGCTCCTACCTTTTAATGTGGTAGCATTTTAGGAATTCTCGTAATTTTTTTACTCATTACTCAATAACCAGTGTGTTCTGAACTCATGCCCTACCAGTGCAAATTAACCTTCTAAGTATAGGTGAGTCCTTTCCTTAGCCTCCTAAGTTGCATGAAATCCAGATATGAATGAGTCAATATGTTCTGCTACTTTCATTACTAAGTGTGGTAGTTGTGCAGTTCAGTTTTCTATGTGGTAATTCTTTGCAAACGGTGTGGCTTTTTAGGAACGGACAAGGTGTGACCAACCTTATTAATGGCCTGTTATTGCAGTAATAATGATGAATAGCAATTGTAGCTTATCTTCAACTGTTTTATAAATACAGAAAGTAAATGGAAGGTTTTGGCACTGATTGGTCGTGGATTTTACAGAACAATGACATCTACTTTAGTGGAGTAAGGAGTAGAAAGGCAGGTTTTAATTAAAATTCTCCCTGCTATTCCAGGGAAAGTTACGTCTCTAATAGTTTAGCATCCAGCACAGAAAAAGCTTGATGTGAAAACAAACCAGAAAACAACGCTGCCTTAGGAATGTTGCGAAAGCTGAGGTTCACCTATATTACACAAGCAGAAGTTATATACCACTATACAGTGTAATCAAGATTGATGGACATTTATGTGCCAGTATAACTGGAGGTAAGTTGAGAATACTTGTGTGTGCAGTGCATCTAGAGATTGGGAAAAGGCAACCTTGTAGCATGCTTTTTATATATTGGAAAAATGCAATCTTAGAACCACTGAAAGGGTTTATTCAACCAACTGTTGAAGTGAACTAAGCCAGCAGGATGTGTCTTTAAGGATAGTTCATGTTTCAAGCTGAGAAAACTTGTGGAGCTCATTTGAAAACAAATTCCTGCTCTAAGCCCCCAAAATTTAGCGTGAGGCCCAACTTTTCTGTCCAGTAAATCTTTTCCACCTGGACTAGAATGCGTGCAAAACTGACTTCTTTCTTACTCTTCTCCCTTTCCATTTTCAGTAAAAGCAGACAAGCTTAGCTCCAACAAAGGAAGATGAGCAAGTGTAAACACCCCTAGGCACATTCTGGCAAGCGGGCTTTTTGATTTGAAAGATAATCAGATGGCAGGAGTTTGGGTAAAAGTGAAGTCCTGTAAATTAAGAAGATACTGATTTTTAAAAATAATTATGGGCTATAACTAGCATGCATTGGCTGTAGAATGTTACCAGAATTTTGTCTTAATTGTTTGCTGATGTTGAAATTAGTAGAGGAAGACATTAATGGAGTTTCAAATGGTCAGCTTCAAGCTGGAATTCTTCCTTTATCTGTTGCGCATACTAAAAGTGCTGCCTTTACTAACGAATGTGCATGTTAAACCCTCTGACCTCAGTGCTACGGATGACTAGCCACAGTTTGAGACACTGGAAAATTACAGAGACAAAAGAAAGCTGAAGAAACTGCTGTTCTCATTCTCCGTGGCCTGAATTCTGCTGCATGGAAGGCCTTGTCATTTTTTAATATTTCCTGTAAGAACAGTCATTTCAGTACAAAGAGGAGCACCTTTATGCTGTATGTGGCAATATAGTGGGGAACAGTAAACTGTTGAGATCAGGTGGCACTAAGAAAATGAAATCATTTTATTCTTAAAAGAGGGTTGCCTAGGTTTGTGCACCCAAGCAATAGTGTGAATATAACAGCATGTTCTGATTGTTTTTTTTCCCAAACTTACTGAGTATCCGTTACTGTCATTGCTTTCAGTGACAATTGATTCTCATGGCTGTATGCATTTTGAATTCCAAACTGAGATGTTTTGTTCTGGAACTTTGTCTGAGTTGCCCAATCTTGATGCATTTTCATCGTTCCACTTGAGTCTTCCTTGCAGAAAACATTCCTGCAAAATAGGTGATCTATCCAGAATGAAAATTGAGATTATTTTTTCCCCAGTGCATTATCAGATTTCCATTTTCTGTCCTTGCAGTGGAAGATAGAGGCACCGAGCTTTTCATTTTTGCAAGTGTGTGTTGTGTGCCATTGCTTAGGGGCATGTTGTAGATAGCTGAGCACCTCCTTGTTCACTGCATTCCTCCAGCAGGGAGACATTCACTCCAAGTGTAAGCTTTGGTCTGGCGTTTAAATATAGCACAGATATTCAGAAGGGTTCTTCTCTTCTCATGCCCTCCTACCCTCAAGCAATCCTCTTGGATGGTGTTACTTTCCAGATGTTCTGTGAGAAGCACAGAGAAATCGCTGAGGTTTGCACAATGGGAGATAAGCTGGTTTTTTTCCTATTAGCTCTGACAGGCAAGCTGATGTACGAGATCACAGCATTAGTGCCACACTGGTTTGGCGTTTAAACTGCCATGAAAGAGAAGGGGCAAATAATGTATCAATACCAGAAATAACTGATGTGGCAGCCTTGTTCTGTAAGCCTTTTTTGATCACTGCTCTTATCTGTGCAACAGTAACCACTGGTGTAAAGACTGCAAGGAGTGGAAAATTTGGATACTCTGTTAGGTCATTTCACATTCTGTGTTTGCAACTGAATTTAATTTTGCAGCTCAGTATAAATTTGAGGGTTTATTTATGCCAGTCCTGAGCTTCTAACGCATGAGTCCAAACCTTAGCAGTTCATTGGCAAGAACAGCAAGTTGTTCTGCTGTCACTGAGGTCTTCCAAAGAAGGAGTGGAATACTAATGGTGGAAACAGGACAAATCCCTTTTTGCAGCTGAGGTGTTATTGGGTTTCCTTTCTGGCAAATTGACTCTTTGAAAAACTAGACGTTTTGCTTTTGGAATAGATAACATAGCCTGATTGTTGAAAAAAATTTTCTAAAATAAAACTCCTGCTGTTTGGTTTGTTCTTCCCTGCAGTTTGGAAGGTGTAATGGAGAACCTGCTGACCTAAACCATGCTGGCTCTTCCCTTTTGCTGTCTCATGAGCTTGTACAGAGGCTGAATTGCTTCTTTGATACTCGACTTTTCTCTGGGTGTACCTACTTTGCTAAGGTCATTGAAGAAGTGATAATTCCACAGCACTGCAGTCTGAGTTGATATACAACACACTCATTCATTTTTGCCACCTTTTATCCACTGCCAAGGTGTGCAAGGTGAACAAATAAACCTTTGCATTCTAATTTTAACTATAGTTAAAACAGTAAGATATCAAATAGGGAATGAGAACAGAGGAAGCGTCCTGACTTGCTGGTGTAGATTTTTAGCATAATAAGAAATGAAAAATAGATGACTGACTCTTTTATTATGGCTATTGTGGTAGAAATGGACATTCCAGACTTTGGCAAGGTCGGTACTGTCTAGAAGAAGGAAAGTAAAAGGGTAAAGAAGTTGAGAGAAATTAACAAGTGGGCTGTTATAGATGGAATTAATAAGGGACCTGTGTCAATGATAAGATATGTGATTTGGCTGGCACAGTGGGCCTTCTGCAAAGAATCCTTCTGGTTTCTTACGGATTTTCGAGATTTCCATTGATTACCATTAGAATTTTCACTTTACATCAGTTGGAAACATGGAGGAGTTTTCATGCTCATAGAACGCTTTTTCAGCAAAAAAAAATTAATAATAAAAAAGAGTTCTACACATGAATTCAGAATTATTTTCACTTCTCTCATTTCCAAAGTTTCAGTACTTTCCAATTGAAGTGGCCACATAAGTCAGATGAGTGCTTCTGCCTTTGGGTTTGGCCCTGGAAAATGTTGAGCACCATTAATTTCAACTGACTCCAAGTGGGAGCAGAGACAACACAGGTCTTGCAATTTCTGGTCTTTAATTGGAAATGAATGCAGTGCTTCTGATGTTGAGTGCTCGGGGGTACATTTCTTTTTATAGAGTCGATAATTACTTGATTCATTAAAAGTAGTGCTGTATTGCTGTAAGTGCAAGTTAAGTCTTCATTTCAAACATGTTGCTGAACTTCCCAAAAGCATACTGTTTAATGCCACTCAACTCATGTATCATTTAACCTAATGATCGAATGGTTTCACAGGAGCTTCCCACCCTTCTATAAACTATTTGGCTAAGCAGCTCTAATACTACTATACGCATACTTGATAGACTGTAAAACAGCAATTCTTTTTTATGTAATTTCTTCATAGAGTGAAAATCTTAGTGACTGATTTATTTGGAAGACGATGGTGAAAGGCCATCTTCCTTCTCTTCTTGTAGGTTTTTTATAAATTTGAAACACTACTCCCCTCTAGCTGCTGTTCTGTCTCTGTTTCCTTGTTCTTGCAAGAAAGGGTCCTGCAGGACTTCTCATTTACTTCTTACTTTGATACTAGGTCCTTCCCCCCACTGCATGTCTTGCCACCTACTGTGTCTGCTCTTATTGCAGTTATGCAGCTTTCAGTGTTAAACTGACATAACTCCCAACTGGTTCATATTTGACCAAGCGGTCTGTATGTATAGCAACAGGTGTGTTACTTGGTGTACTGATAATTCCGTACTGTAACCCTCTAACAAAACTTACAGAAGCATCACAGCATAGAAATTATCTCATAGTCTGAAATACACCATTGCATTGGCATGTGCTTGGTTGAGTACCTTTAAAGCCATTCTTGCAGTGATGAGAAGCCAGGAACAATCCTAGGTTTTGTAGAAATGAGTGTGTTAGGTTAACTCATGCAGCATGCAGAGCTCCCAGTTGGAACTGGTGATCTGAATTTCCATGCCCCTTGAGTGATTGTTGTCAGAGCAGTGCCAATGTGATCTGCAACAGTAAAAACTGGTCATGCAAACACTGTTCAGCAGAAAATAGCTGTGGTAGTGCAGGTAGTCTCGTGTAGTTGGCATTTAGATCATTTCTACCCTGCTGCACAAGTGTTTTTTACCATCTCTTATATTGTTCTAAGTGAAAGGCAGAACTTTCATTTGAGCTCAGCCATTGGATCAGTTCATGCAGTTGGTCTGATTTATCTTCTGCTAGCTCAGCTGCGTACTAACCTTTCAATCGCAAACAAAATGTGCTTAGAGTAAGTCTAAAGATTACTCCATAAAAGAATAATATGTGGTTGTAAATTTACAGCAGGTGAAGAAAGTTACGCCTTAGTAATGCTGTGGAAGTGATAGAGCAGTAAGTAGTGTGAATCAAAACTCATAGGTTAGTTTCTGGATTTCTCTGCTACTAAAAATTGTCCAAAGACATATTGAAGGCTGCACACAATAATATTAGTGTGGGAGTCCATTCATCACATGGTCATTAGATTGAGTATGATTCATATTGCTGCTATCCCCAAGTGCTGTAGTTGCCTGGTGAGTTTAAAAATACTGAGCAAATTACTCTTTTGATTTGCTGTCTTGGTGAAGGATTCGAGATATTGCTACGTACATTTTAAGCACCATCTAAATATGTATCATGTTTCCCTCTCACACATTTGATCTCCCTGGACTAATGACAGTGCAGTATGCTGCATGCTCCCTTTCTCGTGCTGACGTTTAACTGGGGGTTTGTGAAGACCTCTCTCTCTTCTGTACTTCCTTAAAGCGTTTCCAGATGACTTTGCTGTTACGTAGCACCATAGCCTCGTGGTATGACTTTATCCCAGAGGTCAGAGGAGTAAGCTTGACTGATAAGCCTTTTAAGCTTGAAAGCACTTTCCTCCCTGCTGGGAAGCCACATGATTACATTTGCGAGAAAGATTTTTTGGCCTTGAGGAGTTGTGTGTTTGAGAATCATGGCGTTGGAGTTCACTAGTGGACCGGGCATGCCTCCTCCCCTGCAAGCCCTATGGAGGTGTGTGTGACCAGGTAATAATACTCACTCTGCTGTGGACAAGGAGAGTGGTACCAGTGTCTGCTTACGCTCAGTGTGCTGGCTTTGATCTGGTGAGTGGAAAGAAAAGGTTACTGGCACCTGCAGCATCCCACTCCCTGGGATCAGTGGAGCAAGGGAGCCCAGCTCTTTTTCAGCCATGCCCTGGAAGAGCCAACATTTTTAATGCTGCTGCAGCCCTAAGCTTCCCCAAGCTGAAGGTTTGGTTTGTATAGGCAGGCACAGTGCCTCTCAACAGCACGTAACCCTGTCATACTGACCTGCATGGTTATGTTAAACTCAAAACTACATGCTTTTGTCAGTTCTGTTTGCACAAAGAATATGCAGGAAGGGCTTCTGCTTTTGGTACGAGGCATTGGACTGTGGGGGCATGCGACCTCGGTGAGGCCATGGCCTCCCTAGTTCTCCTGCAAGGTTATTGGGCACGGTGGTGTTGGGTTGATGGCTGCACTAGATAATCGTAGTGGTCTTTTCCAATGTTGATGACTTTATGATTCTATGATTTTCCCCCGGGAGAACAGGTTTTCTTCACCAGTGGAGGCACATGTTGCAACTACACCCAGCATGAGTCAGAGCTCCTGTTCTTGCATCCTTATCAAAAGATTCCTTGTGTTGACCTCTACTGCTCAGGAACACAGAAAGTTAAACAGGGATGGCCCAGCCATTTTAGTGCTTCAGTGGCAGTCGGTGCTGCTGGTCAGAAAAACAACGCATGAAGCCAGTCAGATTAATTTTATTTACCTGAAGTAGGTAAGTGTTTGCTCAACTGCCCAGAGCCTGTAAGAACAGGAATGGGATGCAGAAAACATTCTCCTCATAGCAGGAGTGCTTCACATGGTTGTGAGGGAGGAGAGGAGCTGCACTGCCTTCTGCAAAGGGCCTGGCCTTAAAGGCAGGGATTTTTAAACTCTTCCCAGCACAGCGTACCGTGTTCTAATATTTTCCCTCCTCCTCTGCTGTCAGACTTCAGCTGATTTTGTTTGTTTTTGGAGAACAGAGAGATTTTGGTGTCTCTTTCACTTCTGTTTGAATTTGTTCCCTCACCTTGCTCACTTCCAACTTAGAATTTGCAAAGGTATTTGTATACAGTTGCTGTGAAACACTTCTTTTGACGAGAGGTGCTTGTTCTGTGTATTTGAACTACACAGAATAAGTAATTACATAAATATGCCTTCACGATAGTCTGCAAACCATGTTTTACACTGAGGTATTTTCTTTTGATATCTCAGTTACGGCAGATCTTGGATAAGACCCAAATTTCAGTATTCCTTTTCAAGGATGCTTTACTCAGTCCTTTCTTGTTAGGCTCCTTGTTAGGAAGTAAGGTTGGGGGCTACAGATAAGATGCTATTTGACAAAACTTGAAGTTTTGTCTTTTTTCAAAATTTTTTAGGTTTGCATGATTAAAACCAAGTCCAACACTGCAAAGGCTGACCTACATCTGGTTCATCATGTTGTGTGGATTGCAAATTCATCTTCATGAATGCAACTTCTTAAGCAACTTCTTATTTTATTCCACCATTGTGGCTTAGTGTGTGAACGTTATTCATTGAAGGGCTAAAGACTTTGCAGAGTCTGTATAAATCCCATTAAAAAGAAAACAAAAATTAAAACATAATTACTGGCCTTACTGGTCAAGGAAAAAAACCTCGAATATAAAAACTGCATTGGTTTTCCTAGGTCAGCAGCCAGAACAGTTGCTTAGTTTATATAGAAGGCAGATTGGATGTAAAAAGATGGCAAGGAAGCAATGTATATGGAGAAACGTACCACCTCTCCCATAAATGTTTTTCAGATATTTCTGAATTGTATGCTATCAGCCTTTCCAAGTGAGATGCTGGTAAGAAAGACACCCAATTCATAACAATTACTTTTTACCTGCCCCTGAGATTTTCTTCCATCTGCCTACACTTCTGCCAGTACTCCTGATTCTTTCTATTTTGGTAACTCCTCTGCCTTTTCTTTCAGAAAAGTTCTTTGTGGGACAAAAAGAGAAATCAGAAGCTCTTGGCTGGTACCATAAAGGAAAATCTTATTGATTCATCATATTCTCCTTCCTTCTCTTGTGATGCTATGGAAGTTTATATGTGGTAGACCGTTAAAATCATCTACTCTGCTTTTATGAAGTGTGCTTGCATTTGTTGTCACTATTGGACACTGAAACTGTATTGCAAATTCTAATACTTTTTTTGGATTTTTCAAAATAAAGGCATTTTTAGCTTTCTGTTGGTGGTTTTTTTTTCTTTTTTTTTTTTTTTTTTTTTTTTTTTTTTTGTCTAAATGCGCGGGGGATCAAAGAGATGCAGCTGAATTTGTTGTTTTTTTTTTTTTAATTTATTACAGATTATCATCAAACAAGCAACTACTTTTCTAGTCAGTCTGGAGAAATCTGTGTGACATGTTCAGTCTGGAGAAGAAGAGGTTCAGGGTAGACCTTATCACTCTCTATAACTACCTGAAAGGAGGTTGTAGTGAGCTGGGGGTCAGCCTCTTCTCTAGTGTAGCTAGTGATAGGACCAGAGGGAATGGCCTCAAGTTGAGCCTGGGGGTATTGAGGTTGGATGTTAGGAAATGTTTTCTCTGAAAGAGTGGTCAGATGCTGGAATGGGCTGCCCCGAGTGGTGGTGGAGTCACCGACCCTGGAGGTGTTCAAGGAACATTTAGATGTTGTACTAAGAATGTTTAGTGAGATTTATTGGTGATATGCAGATGGATATCTTGGAGGTCTGGATGATCTTGGAGGTCTTTTCCAACCTTGGTGATTCTGTGATTCTATGTAAAATATTCTGTGCTCATATAAAGGACTTTTTGAAATATAGTGACTTAAACTTTTCATGATGCATTTGCATCAGTGTCTTTATCTCCTTAAAAAGTGTCAGTACCTTTTCAATTTGTATCTCATGTTTTTATATGACTTGTTATGAAGTGTTTTCATTTCTTTCATTTAAACTTCACAACCTCCATTTTCTGGCTTTTGCTGTGAAGGTAGAAAATGCATGTCCTGGGAATGTCTGAATAATCACTTAATCTTGAAAAACTCTCTGGATTGTAATCTATTTTTTGTCATTTTAGAGCTACCAACTACCTGCTTACATTTTGCCTTACAGGCTTCTGTGCTGGCTAAATAGAAGAAATCAGCTTTTGACAGCAGGCTGCTGTTTACCAGTGATAAGGTGCTTCTTATTTCAGTGGGAGAAGGAAATCTTGCTTCCTATGCTATTGCATTCCCATGGAACTGATTTTCAGTCGAAGTAGTGGGGTAGTGAGTCCCCATGACAAGCATCTCTGTGATGTTTTATCTGCTAGCTGATCTTGCCTGTGTGAATAGACCAAGAAAGAGCTGAGCTCAGGTGGCATCATTTGAGGTGCCTCTGGTGCTGAGAGCACTGCTGTGTTCAGAACTGAAGGTCATCTTGATTAGTAATTGCCTATTAGCATTTAAGGTAGTAATACACCCTGTATGTGCGTGGGGATCCTGGTACCTCTTGGAAAGATGTTCCACCAGAAGTCTTTGATTGCTCTTCTCCTGTTCCTGGATGCCTGGAAAATCCCCAGTGCTCTCCTTACCCTGTGAGAAATAAGGACACATCTCTCGTTCTCTTTCCCACCCCAGCTTTTATGGATGGCTGCTTGCAGTTGCTGTTGGTGAAAGTCACAGCAGATGAATAAGGCTGAAGGGAAGTCGCTCAGCTTTCCAATCCAAGGAAAGGCGAGCCGCTCTTTGAAGTTGAGCTCTGAGTGGGCATCTGCACAGGCTAACAGGGCTGCGAGTTGTTCTCCCTGGGACACGTTCCCCATGCCATTAAGCTCCACAAGGGCTGTGCGATGCTGGATCACATGCTACAGCATGCTGCTGATCAGAGCCTGCCACTCTTAGCTGTGAGTTGGCTGCCATCATAAAGCTTTTTCAGAAATCCTTTCAACTCTGTGATAGGCATTCATTTTCTGTTACAGCATTTGTTCTGGCAGGTCAGTTACTTTGTGGAACTTTCTGGTGGGTCAGGTGTCCTAACAGAAAGAAAGCTCCTTGCTTAATTGTCCTGAGAAGCCCAGGGCATTTGGCAGAAACCCAACCTGTGGTTGTTTTCAATAACATGTTAACTTGAGTCACTTCATTCTTTGCTGGTTGCTGCTGCTCAGACAGGGAGGCTGGGAGCATCCCAGCACAAGTAAGTCAGAAGCAAATGTATGCTTAAAGTGTGTGGGGATACCTGGTGACCTCCTACATGTCTCAAACATAATGGTAAAAAAGATGAAGCCAGATTTGGAATTAAAGCCCGTATGTTACCTGCAAGCTGTTAATTATTCTGGGTGTGGACAGAGTATATGTAAATAGGACATGAATCTGGATGAGAACATAGGACGTGCTTTTGATGGAAGTAATAGCGTAGTGAAATTGTATGTATGCCACACTGGATGCCCAGCTAAAGTAGCCATTCCAAATGCCTTTCTGCTAGGAAGATGCCTACGTCTGCCCTCTCTTCAGCACAGCTCTGCAGGGATGGAGCTGTGGCACTATGTACTCCTGCAGCAGGGCTTTTCCCACCAGAGAGAGGTTGGCTTTCACAGAACACTGGATATTTCTACCTTCTGTTGCTGAAATGAGCCCAAAGCTGGTGTGGTATTTCAAGCCCTGAGTGGATCAGTGCCGATCCTGGGCCACCTGATCAACTCTTATTTAGGTCAGACCTCCTTAGGGTAACCCACAGAGAGCAGCATCTTAGGTCCTGCTGCAACATAGTCCAGCTCCCTGAGCAGAGTAAGCCAACCCTCTGTAAACAGCCTAATTGAAGGGTTTTTCAGTAGGCCTGACAGCAGACAGATGATTTTTTCTTTAACGAGCAGACGGCTCTCATGCTGAATCCATGCTTTCTTCCTTCTTAGCAAGATAAAGACTACCTCCTGTTGCACACAGTTACCCTTTGCTTGCTCACAAGTATTGTAAGGACTTCAGAGGAACAAGGGGTGCTTTGCAGTGCAACCTTATCTCTAACTGCAGCTCTGCCTCTTTCCCAGCCTGAAAGCTGCGGGAACTGAGCAAGAGCAGGGTAGGCAAACACTGCTAGAAGCATCAGGCATTAACTGCAGCCTCTGTCACTGGAGTACCTACTTGCTGCACGTCGTCCTGCTTTGAAGATGATGAATTTTCAAGAGCTTGAGCCAAATTTCCTCAGACCCAAGCACCAGGGAGCAATACATTTGCTGTGAACGGTGAGGGCACCCTCTTCCTGACTGGAACAGATTGCGCTGCTTATGAGTACAGAGCTTCTATTGTTCTGCCCTGAGAGATTGTGCTGAAGCTTTGAAGCAGCGTTTGCATGTAGGTGTCAGTTTTCTAAGCAGTTTTTTTTTTTTTTTTTTTTTTTCTTCCCTTTACTTGTTTGGGTTTTTTTTTGTTACTTTTTTTTTAAAAAAAGGACAAACCCTGCTACCTTCCCCTCCCAGCCTTTTCTTCACAGTGACTGGCTTGGTAACTGTTTATTTTATGATGTGTTGTTTAGGCTTCCCTGTTTTTCTTCAGCCTGGCTATTTAACAACTTCTTTATTGGATGGAAATCAGGGTATACCCAGTGACTTAGTGCAGGAACTTCACCATTATAGTTGAAGGTGATTTGTAATGTTACATTATGCAGTATATTGTATGGGATATATGATAAACCATTGTGCTCATCCAGTACTTGTGTTTTTAAATTCCTTTTTGAAATCAAAATGTTAATAAAATGGCTGCAGTATAATATGCATGCTGGAGTCAAAGGACTTGCGGTCCACTGTACTGCCAGTGTGCCTCAGCCATGCAGTGCAACTCCTGGCCTGCTGGAACCCACCTCCTATCTACAGGGTCAAAGTCTGAGTCTAATGAAGAGGTGTCATCATGCTCAGCCTTTGCATAAATCTCATTCAAGTGCTAGAGGAAGCAAACAAAAAAAAATTAATCTAGATGCTCAAGTCAGATTTAAGTCAGTTTAATTGTGCTGTAAAGTTTCAGGGCTGGTGCAATTAATCTAGGAAAACCAATAATCTCGTTCTTGTGGGACTTTCCCAGTCTGCTGACCTGCACCTGACTCATGTTGTATGGAGAACAGAAATCTAGGAATGTTTGAAAACATCCAGATTAAACCAGTGTTTGAGAAGGGCTGAGATGGCAATTATCTTCTTCTTCACCGTGTCATAATTTCTTGTTATCTCTTCTGAATTGTAAGATCCTACCCAAAGTGGCATAGAGAAACATCTGATTACAGACAAAGATCAATAAAATAAGTTGCTGGGGGGTAAGTGTAGAAAAGAGCCCAGCAGATCATGCATTGCTACTCTTATCCCTTTCAGAAGGGCCACAGGAATGGTTAGGGGGCTGGAGCACCTCCCCTATGAAGACAGGATGAGGCAACTGGGCTTGTTCAGCCTGGAGAAAAGAAGGCTGCGGGGTGACCTCATTGCAGCCTTTCAGTACCTAAAGGGAGCCTACAAACAGGAGGGCAATCAACTCTTTGAAAGGGTTGATAACTGCAGGACAAGGGGAAATGGTTTTAAGTTGAAGGAGGGAAGATTTAGGTTGGATGTCAGGGGGAAGTTCTTTACAGAGAGAGTGGTGAGATGCTGGAACAGGCTGCCCAGAGAGGTCGTGGATGCCCCGTCCCTGGAGGTGTTCAAGGCCAGGTTGGATGGGGCCCTGGGCAGCTTGGTTTAATATTAAATGGGGAGGTTGGTGGCCCTGCATGTGTTGGGGACATTGGAGATTCGTGATCCTTAGGTCCCTTCCAAGCCATTCCATGATTCTATGACAAGGCAGATCTAGAGTGAGTTAAAGCAAGTGTGGAAGGAGTGACCTTTCTTTCTCCAGAGAGCCTGTGGGATGGTTGAGCGTTGGAGGAGCCTCTGAGCAGCAAATGATATGATGCAGGTATCAAAGGACATGATGTTGCTGTTCTCAAACACCAGAAAGAAAGGTTTAGACACTTAAAAAGAAAAAAGTCATTGTGTCTCTTTTCTGACATTTTTGGGTTGCATATCAATCAGGAGTTTTTATCTTCTGTATGAAACTCTAGACTCTGGGATT